CTTCCAGTTCCTATACAACAACAATACACGCCAGCAGACAGAGGCCAGAGATGACCTGCATTGTCCCTGGTGTACCTTGAACTGCCGAAAGCTGTATAGTTTACTGAAACATCTCAAGCTGTGTCACAGCCGATTCATCTTCAATTACGTGGTAATGACTTCTTACACCTTGCTGCATGAAGTGTTATAATGTGACCTAATTAATGAGATCTGTATACTGCAATTTAATACATTCATTACATCCATGTGGAATAGAACAGCATCCATCAATAAACACAGTGATCTAATTCATTGAATTGTTTTTTATGTCAGGAACCCACATTTCACTTGCATTGAATAAACCGTTGTATGTAAGCTCCAGTTTAGATTGTCTGCGAATATGAGATTGATAAGTAAATTTTGCCACTGAATGCTAAGGCCACATATGGGGGGGAGGGGAGCTGATGGGCATTTTGAGTTCATCCTAAGATTTGTGGTACCGTTTATAAGAGTCTCTCAAACCCATGTCTGTTTGTTAAATAGTTAGGCCATGAACCTGTGGCATGTCATGCAATATAAAATTGTACACATCCAGCTTGTTACAATTGGATGACTTTGTGACTGGCTAATAAGCCTCTCCTACCCAGCCGTTACCTGGAACTCATGCCCCTTCCTACCCAGCCTATAGCTGGAACTCCATGCCCCATTCCTAACCAGTCTATTGATGGAACTAAATGCCCCTTCCTACCCTAGCCTATACGTGGATCTACATGGCCCTTCCTACACAGCTTATACCTGGAACTCCATGCCAATTCCTACCTAGCCTATACCTGGAACTCTATGCCCCTGCTTACTTAGCCTATACCTGGAACTCCATGCCCCTGCCTACCTAGCCTATAGCTAGAACTCCATGCCCCTGCCTACCTAGCCTGTAGCTAGAACTCCATGCCCCTTCCTACCTAGCCTATAGCTAGAACTCCATGCCTCCTCCTACCTAGCCTGTACCTGGAACTCCATGCTCCTTTCTACCTAGCCTGTACCTGGAACTCCATGCCCCTTCCTACCCAGCCTATACCTGGAACAATATACCCCTTCCTACCCAGCCTATTCCTGGAGCGCCATGTCCCTTCCTTCCCAGTCTATAGCTGGACCTCCATGCCCCTTCCTACCCAGCCTATACTTGGATCTACATGGCCCTTCCTACACAGCCAATACATAAAAATACATGCCCCTTCCTTCCCAGCCTATACCTGGAATTACATGGCCCTTCCTAAACAGCCTATACCTTAAATTACATGGCCCTTCCTACACAGCCTCTACCTTGCATTACATGACCCTTCCTACCCAGCCCATACCAGGCAATATATATCTCTTTATACCCAGCCTTTACCTGGAACTACATGGCCCTTCCTCCCTAGCCTTTACCTGGAACTACATGGCCCTTCCTCCCCAGCCTGTGGCTGGAATTGCTCTTATTTCCATCATTTTGCCACTAGGCTTAATTCTGTGTATAGGCCAGGAAGTTGCTTTTAGGAAACTAAACCCAGACAATAGTGAGGTGTTGGAATTATTCTGTTATTTACTTTTGCACTATGAGGGATTTGTCTAGCTCTGTGCATAATAATTTAGAAGTCCTCATAGATGTATAACATACCTTTAATAAAACCTGAACATAAACAGTGTAGATGCTTACAAACAAAGGCAAGCACAACAAAAATAACAGATTATTGGGTCTTGCTAATTATAGGACCTATGAACATGGGACCTAAGAAATGTTCCTTAGAAGAAACAAAATACATTGAAATAGGTATTATTTATTATTACTTCTCCCTCTCCTTCAATGTAGAAGTCGTCGTATAGCTCAGTAGTGCAGTAATGGGTTTATTTCCAAAGCTGAAAACTCACAAGGGAATAGCACGTTATACAAAATAGCAGAGCTGGGAAATAGATGAATTGAAGAATAATTTTCTGCTCCGCTATTGTCAGAAATGTGCAATTGTCAAGTCTCCACAATTCTTGGTTTAGTGAATAAAGTCTCTTGTATAGGAAAAAAGCCTGTCTGTCTCAAATCTAGCTGATGCTCTTTTGAGCGCCTTTTAGGGAGGGGTTGAAGTGTCGTTTCACAGTAGAATAGGGGCTTTTGTTGCTGGTTCTGATGGTTGTCTAATTAGCCCCATAGTTCTCCAGTGCAGCTCATACCTATCATTACCTTTCCAGCACTGAGATTTGTTGCGTTACTAAGAGTAAGATAAAGACTACTTGTACTTATGTGTAGCTGTCAAGTAGGCACAACTTGGCAGTGGGTGGATCTTAAAGGGACACTCAAGACCCCTAAAGCACTTTAGCTTGCTTGAAGGCCTTTGTGTGTGAAGAGTGTTTTCTCTTTTTTTCATTTTGCAAAAAGTGCAGCTTTCAGTAGAAATTGACACTTTTATAAATTTAACCTGGTAACACCCCCTTGGCTTTCAAACTGACAACGGGCTCCTGTTACTTCCTGGTTTGGTTAGCTCAGAGGCAAAAATTGCCCAGAGCACCTGCCTTGTAAAGACTTTTTATTGAGTTGCATTGGGAAGTCAGTGATTGGACAGCCACAGGAAGTCTGGACGGGGGTTAGAAAGGTAAAGCAACAGACACGAGAAATGCAGGTATTGCAAACTGTTTATAAATATATCCCCAATGAAAGAAAATACATAATTAAATACAGGCAAGTTTTTTTTAATTTGGGGTATATCTACTAAACATTGATTTTTATTAAGTTTGTATTTGGAGTGCTCTTTTAAGCGAATTTCCGTTTTAGCTGCACATCCAATTTACCCGCAATCAATCAGTGAAATGATACCCACGAAGGGCAAACACTAGACATCAGCTGTGTTGAGTGTGAGGAACAGGGGAGCTGTGTTTACATACTTTTTATATTTATTGTGTATTCTTGTTTTGGGTATTTTTATCCCCCCCCAGTTTCCAGAACTAGCTGTAATTGAGGGGTTGGTGGGTTCAGTTATTTGAATAGCTGCTTCCTGTCTTTTGTGACTGTTCCCTGCATACAAATGTTTTGTTTTTCATGAGAAAAACAACATAATAAGCCATTTATTTATACGACAGAAAGAGACTCTGATAAGCAGAATTTGTACTGAGATCTTCCATTCACTTAGTGTCCTTGAAGCATTGGTCCTCAGATTGTTTTGTGCAGTACCTTTTTAATTACAAAGTGCTTTACTCTCTTCCTTTGTCACCTAAGTACAGGCTACAGTAATGGGAATTGTGCAGTAGGTGCATATTTAGAGCGTGTGAGTATGGCTTGACTATTTTAACAGTTTCCAGGTTTGTGTCTTCCTGTGTTAACCAGTTAGCCTTCTCTCCTGATTCCAGAGCGAGCTCCACAACAAGGCAGTTCTTTCTTATCTGCTGTCCTCAGAATCGCTGTCTGTACTTGGTATTTTATATTTACTTGTCTACTTTCCACCCAGCGTGTTTTATTTAAGCTGTATTCACTGGTAAAACACTGCTGCGTACCGTCTGTGCTGTCATAGGTCTGATTGTTTATTTCTATTCTAGTATCATCCAAAAGGTGCTAGAATTGATGTTTCCATCAATGAGTGTTACGACGGATCATATGCAGGAAACCCTCAAGACATCCATCGCCAGCCTGGGTTTGCCTTCAGCCGAAATGGTCCAGTTAAAAGGACGCCCATTACACACATTCTTGTGTGCAGGTAATGATCTGTTAGTTAAAATAGCCACTTTGCATAAAAGCTTTAAGACCTCAGCGACCAGTAGAAAACAAGTCTTTTAAACGGAGTGACATTTGTTTACTGTGGTACGTAGAAAAATATAAATAAAAAATCTACTATTCTTTTGCAGGCCCAAACGTACAAAAGCCAGTATGTCAGAGTTTCTGGAGTCTGAAGATGGAGAAGTGGAGCAGCAAAGGACCTACAGCAGTGGGCATAACCGCCTGTACTTCCACAGCGATACCTGCCTTCCCTTGAGGCCACAGGAAATGGAGGTGGACAGCGAAGATGAGAAAGATCCTGAGTGGCTACGGGAAAAAACTATTACTGTAAGTTTTGTTTTGTTGTGTTTTTTTCACCTACAATACTCTGTCCTCATTTATTGTCTTTCGAGTACCACAAACCTCCACAGTGAATAACTCTCCTTCAGCAATGGCAAGTCTTTAAAGGCGACTAAAGATACATGTGTTAATATTCACAGTGAATATTTATTCCAAATGATAATTAAATGTAAGCCGGTATTATTTGTATACACATTTGCCCAATTTTATGCTGGAAGTACAGAAAGTGCAGTAAACATACTGCATTTATATTTTTATTTCTGAAATTGTCATTTTTCATTTTGTTAAAAAAATTTTTTAACAAACAATACACAGGAAGAAAAATCTATCAAATATGTATAAAATATATAGCACTAACTGCTGCTTAGCACTTTACAGGTTACATTAGAGTAGAGGGAGGTACAGTAAGTGCAATAGATATAAAGTGTGTGTGTGTGTGTGTGTGTGTGTGTGTGTGTGTGTATATATATATATATATATATATATATATATATGTGTGTGTATATATATTTTTTTTTTTTTTTGTAGATAGCACTAACAGGTGTACCCAGCACATTATCGGTTACATTCAAGTAAAGGGAGGTACAATAAGCAGTAGGTATATAGTGTATGTATATTTGATTTATATAGCACTAACTGGTTGCCTTACAGTAGAAAGGAAGTGCAATTATACCATGTAATTTTGGATATGTGGCTGTGTGTTAACACACTTTATTGTAAGCTCGGTAGCCAGAATGTGTAATAAATAATGCATATGATCACTGATGATAGCCCTGTATGGTGTCTTCATGTTAGTGCTCAATACAAACATTGGTTTCCTTCTTTTAGCAAATTGAGGAATTCTCTGATGTTAATGAAGGAGAGAAGGAAGTCATGAAAATGTGGAACCTGCATGTCATGAAACATGGGTAAGTAACAAATCTGCATGTCATGAAGCATGGGTAAGCACTATAGCTGCATGTGGTCTCTTCTTTATAGGCAGGAGCTAGTGGTTAATCCTTTCCAGCCATAACCTAATCTCTCATAGCTTTCTGCTTTTAACCCCTAATGCCTGCAGGGATTAGACCTTGTTAACAGCGGCTACTAGTTAATCTCTTTTGACCCCAAGTTCCAAAACCCAATCTAGAATATTGTGTACGGTTCTAGAGCTTATACTCAGAGGGGCTACACTAGAGAATATAAAAATAAGCTATTGAAATAATACAGGTTTGTACCAAAATACATATCAAGAAAGTTTAAACACCCTAAGTAAAATGGATACTTGTGGCAGGATAGAAACGGTCAAATATTTCAAAGGATTTAACCGTGCAAATGGGTGGTGTTTTCTGTTGAGACTTGTGCACTAGAACTAAGACACATGATAAAAAATTGTAGGTAATACATTTTATGGAATAGCAAAATGATGGCTTCAACTGCCGGTAGCTGAATTCTGGGAGATGGCTATAGTAGGGAAAAAGTCTTGCCACCTGTAAGAAGAGGGATACATTAGTATGTCCATAAATATATTTAGTTTTGTTTAAAGGGACACTCCAGTGCCAGGAAAACTGCAGGTCCCCTCTCCCTCCCATCCCCGGTTGCTGAAGGGGTGAAAACCCCCCTTCAGTCACTTACCTGAGACCCCCGCCGATGTCCCTTGGTGGTGGTTTCTGCTCGCCGCTGCCGCTCTTCCTAATGTCAGCCGGTGGGCGAGACTGATCCCGCCCGCCGGCTGAGGAGACCTAATGCGCATGCGCGGCAATGCTGCACATCCGCATTAGAGCTCTCCATAGGAAAGCTTTCAATGCTTTCCTATGGGGAATTGAGCGACGCTCTAGCACAGAAAACCCGTGCTATGGAGCAGGAAGTGCCCTCTAGTGGCTGTCTAGTAGACAGCCATTAGTGGAGGACTTAACCCTGCAAGGTAATTATTGCAGTTTATAAAAAAAAAAACTGCAATAATTACACTTGCAGGGTTAAGGGTAGTGGGAGTTGGCACCCAGACCACTCCAATGGGCAGAAGAGGTCCTGGGTACTTACAGTGTCCCTTTAATGAGAGATTAGCATGTGAGGCTGCATACCTAACCTATGTCTTTTTATCGTGCAGGTTCATTGCAGACAATCAGATGAATCATGCTTGTATGCAGTTTGTGGAAAACTACGGGCCCAAAATCATCAAGAAAAACCTGTGTCGAAACTTTATGCTCCATCTAGTGAGCATGCACGATTTCAATCTCATCTCCATAACTACCATAGACAAAGCTGTCTCCAAACTGCGGGACATGCAGTATAAGATGGAGAAAGGTGAATCTGTCAGTGCTTCTGAGGAGCAAAATGAGGAACCGCATGGACCTACAAACGGATATAGCGAGACCAATGGCAGAGACAAGACTCTGGAAATTGACAGTGTCTCAGGGGTACCAAAACAGAGCAAAAAGCAAAAGCTCTGAATCTTTAAAGAAACGCTCTGAACTGTGACAGCTTAGATGGAGTTTAGCGAACCATACAGTTCTATGCAGACCAGCAACATCAAGAGTAAAACTCTGAATCCCATGTCCAATCACTGGGATGAGCGATGTTGGGGAATCTCGGAGTTAGGCACAAAGAGCAATACATCAAACAAGTTGTAGCCTTTTTTACTATCTAGTGTCTTCTGCTGAATTTATCAATTTAACTTAAAGCAGCAAAGACTGTTATATATTCTGGTTTCTGTCTGTGTACCACTAATGTTGTGGTAGTCTTATCTTGGGATAACTGTCATTTTTGGCTGCAGAGCAGGCAGCCAAGAACATTTAATTTTCCACTCCTCCCACTTTGCTTCCAACTGGACTATATCTCCCCCTTTTTGTTTTTTTTTTACACTTTTTAAAATTTCTTTTATTGCAAAGCAGCTACAGAGCAGAAAGTTTTAGGTCAAATAACACTTCTACTTCTGGTGTCTGTCAGTATAATCCCTCCTATCCACTTGTTTTCAATGTCTACACATTAAATGAGATCCTGTTTTTTTGTCATGAAAATTTTCAGCAACCTTTCCCCCTCTTGCCATTGTCAGTGGACCTGCTTTTTTAGCGGAAAAATTCATTATTTACTTTTCAATTAACTTCAACACCTTTTTGTGTAGTTATTTATTCCTGTTGGCCAAATCAGAGAGGATTTCTGCATGAACCAGGCGTGTAAATTGGAAAATGTGCTGTAAAATGAACCACACAATGTGTTGCACTTTGTAAGATTGTTTTGCAATGAATTGTATGTAGATTAGATGCTCCTTTACATGGGAGGTAGTGTTCCTACCGTTCAGGATTTTCCTGGGAATTAATAGCAGGAATGATTGCCCCTCCATCCTGAAAGTGTTGGAGTTTGGTAGCTACCTGCTCATGTGTCTGGCTCAGTAATCCTCACATAAGGATTTATAGCACAACTTAAAATGAAACTAGACCTTTAATGATTGGCTTGTAAGAGAAGTTACGTGAAGAACTTCTTGGTTCTATATCACATTATCCCCAGGAAATAAAACCAATTCATTTTGCTTTTAAAGTAAACATATAAGAAATTAGGGCTAATAATTGGAAGATTGATAAATGAGCAGTTTAGTCACAGTACACTATTTCTGCACATTCAGTTGTAGATTTTGTTTTATATTGTATGATTTAATTGTTTGTTTCCGTTTGGGGGTAAAAAAACAAAACTTTACAATCAAATGAATTGTCTTCTAGATTTTACATTTCATCATTTTATTTATAAACAAATGTTGCTGCTCTAAATACAGGTATTTTTATTTCATCCACCACTTTTTTTTTTTTTTTTTATATTGAGGTGTTGACTTAATTTTTTTTTATAAAATTGTACATAACCATTTGGATGGTCTTAAAGATTTATGTTAATTGTGAGCTATTTAAGTGTGCAGTTGTGATTTGTCACCCAGTTATAGCATTCCTAGTCACTGCTGTTTGTGTAAACTTAGGAAAGGTTTTTCAGTGTGATCTGCTGATGTTCTGGGAGGAGTCTCATCTTGTTTGCTTGGAGTGGACACAAGCATTCCACCCCACCCCCATTTTGGCTTTAACCCCTTTTGATTCTAATCTTGCTATACCTGTCTGATATATGGGAAAAAAGAAAGAAAGGAAAAAAAAAAAAAAGCGCTTCAATGTACTTAGATATTCAGCTTCGGTAATTTCTTAAGCTATTTTGCTTAAAGTCTGGCATTGTTTGCACAAGGCATGGTGATGGAGCATTCCCCTCCACTTTCATTTGGAAAAAAGTAATGAAATCTTTTGTCCGGTTAACTTGTCATGTTCATTTCTAATAAAAGATAAAAAATAATGTGTACTCATGTTTGATGCCCTTTATTGTAGGACACAATTTTTCCTTATGTACTGGGTGAACGGATTAATTTTTATTTATTTTTTTGTGCAAAATATGTTCAGGACTGTGGCAATTTAAAAACCTACTTCTGCACAGCACCAAAGTGGTAGCCCAATTTACTTAGGTTAGACTGCCTGCCTAGAGCCGAGGCATATGGTCTCAACCTCTAGCCCCTTTAGTAATATCCTCCCCCAAGTCCCCCCTCTCCAGTGTGCGTGCTGTATTTAGTATGAATGTTGCATGCTGACTGTGTAGTTATGTTTGATCTGTTTCCCACCGCCCTGCCACTTAAAGGTTTAAAACGAGATCTTTAGTAAGCTTTTTGAGCGTAATGGCTAGATAATCATACAAAACTAACCCTTTCAGACAGTTTTGGTTCTGCAAGCAATAGGAATTGTCTACTGTGACTAATTGTGTAGTACAGAGAAGACATTCTTTTTATTGTACTGGTAACAACTGTCTTGTACATCTCCCAAGCACTTCTTTTAGGGGTACTAAGGAAAGACAAACTACTTCAAGCGAGGGGCTGTTATTAAATGAGTGTTACGGACAACACCAGAAAGGTCCTTGGAACTTGTCCCTGAAAGTTAATTTTAGGAAATGTTTTAAAGTATTTACAGTCTCTCAGCAGTTTCTCATGAGAATCTTTGCGCTATGATAAAACTCCATAGTTTAAAAAAAAAAAAAAAGGGAGAAAATTGTGAAATAGACAAAGGAATAATACTGTGTGAGTGGTATGACATTTGCCAGGATCCTAAATGCTAGGAATATTTAAGTGTATGTTGATGGGCATTAAAAATTAAGTGTACAGGAACTGAAAACCCAACTGACCTGGAAAATGTTGCTATTTTAGGCTAATAATTAAAGCTATTTAAAATCACAGTTCAAAGTTTAGTGACTAACTTTGACATACATTTATATAGACATCCATCCACAAAATCACAAACTTGCCATGTACTTTACCCGTACTTGTGTAAGTTGACTAGTACACTCCAGCACCCCTTGCTTTCTAAATAACTTTTGTATCATGCCAATGAAATCACCGCAAGCCTCCTCAGCATTTAGACTTTAAAAAAAAAAAACAAACAACCTGTAACTATGTAAAATGTTTTAATATTTTTTTCCCATAGAAAATGTAATAACACTTATTCGTTAAAGCCTGACACCAAATATTACAGATGCCTGAGTCATATTGTACAAATAAAATGAACCCCACTTAAAAAAAAAAATAAAAAAAAATACAGAAACAGTTTTGATCACTCTGCACAATTCTAAAAAAAAATGTTAAACATCTGAAAACTGCCCAAAACATTTTGGGGCATCAAAATCATTTATCCAGACAAAAATACTCTGAAATGTAACTTTCTTCAATATCCACACAATAAATATTTCTATACAAAACATTGTTCTTAAGGCACTTTTTAATACAAATGGTCTCTCGGCCAATACAGATTTCCGCCTGTAATGTCACAGTATTTATTGCGTACCTCTCACCGAAACTTGTGGAAATGAGTCATGTTTACAGAGGAAGGATTAAAACCTAAGAATTGATAAAAATACAGTAGGCAGTTATGTTGGCTAAAATGACCCTATTAGAGGCTATATTTTAAGGGACACTAGTCACCAGAACAACAGCTTCATGTAGTTCTGGTAAGTATAGTCAATCCCTGCAGGCTTAAGGTAAACACTGGGTTTTCAGAGAAGGACACAGGAGGGAAACTTACAGTGGCTACTCCTCAGATGGTCAATAGAGGTGCCTTTGGGGTCAGTGCTTGTTCAGTCTCTACACTCTGCATGGAGATGTTAAACTTTCCCCATAGATGCGTTGATTAAATTCTATCAGAATTGACAATCTTGGCCAATCCAATGCTTTCCTATGAGATAGCATTGTGATTGTCTGAGAATCAATTCTGATGTCGGCCAAGGAGGCTGATCTGGGTCGCGGGGCCAGATGTGAGGAGCCCACACTGCACTGGAAACAGGTGAGTAAATCCACAAATGGTAAGTGGGGCCGACTACCTAAACTGGTTTTAGAACTATAGTGTCAGGAATGTATGCACACTCACAGGTCAATAATATTTACTTTAGTCAAAAACAGATGTTCTGTGTTTTGGTCCCTTTTTTGGGGTCTGGGATTGAACCAGATTAAAATGAGCGCACTTAAATTGTTTTAATTTGACCAAATATAGCAAACACACCTCATGTAGAGATATTAGAGGGGGGTTGGTTATACTACAGCTGTATGAACACTAGAAGGTTTTATTCACTAAACAGCAAATTGCAAACTGAAAATCAAATTAAATTCAGGCTGAAGTAGTCAAGCCATGGATATTCCAGAGAGCGAGGCATTTTACCAAATTAGAAATATAGAAAACAAAGGCTGCGCCAAGTAAAGGAATTTATAAAGTTAGCCATTTTTGCAATTCTGTTTTGAATGAAACTTAAAAGATTATTCAAAGTATCAGTCACTACAGCCTACTGTAGTTGTTATGATGTTGAGTACCCCGGTCCCATTTTGCAATGGTTTGCCCTCTTAACTGTGTCCCAGTGGTCTGTTTCAACAGTAAAATAAGGGACTACTACCCTTGATAAAGGCTACCAGGAGGAGCCGAAACGTTGGGGGATTGTTTGTGACTCGTGTTTCTGCCCATATAGGCTTGTGAAATTTGGTAAATATACGGTTTAGCCTTTTTTTGCCTATTTGGTCACTGTTATATTGTTGCATTTCTTGCATGCATAATTTGGATTTGTATTGCAATAAAATAGATAGATACTATTATATCAGTTGGTGTGCATTCCTTTTCTTTTTGGATCAACAGTAAAATAATGTGTGCTAATGACACATCCTATTCACTTCCACGCAGGCTGGGTTGTGGTACAGTACTGCATTACACAGCAGCACATTGCTTGAAACAAAACATTGACTACTTAAATAGGAGAAAGTTTATGTATTCACCAACGTTTTCTCTTCCTGATTATTTTACCATGGCAGCATTAAAGGGAAACTAGTTTCTATAACCATTTCATCTCTTTGAATTGGTTATCCTTCCATTCAGTATTAAACTGGCTAAGGCAGAGATAACACACTTCCTTATAGTCATACCATCTGTTAAAGCTCTGATAGGCTAAAAGCAGTCAGCTGTAAGTAGTAAGGTGGTACCATAATCATGCCATAGCTTATTTTTACGTTCCTGATCATACACCAAGTATGAAAACTACGAGGGGAGGAGAGCTATCCCATTGGGTAATTGTGCCATGGGTTGATTGTAAAATATTGACAAGGGCTCTCTGATTTAGTCCTGCTACTGAACAGTTAACTACTGTGAGCTACCACTGTTTGAAACCTTGGATGTAAAGTTTATATAAAAAAAGAAGTGTCACAAAGCAGAACACATGTAAACTGCCACGCACATAGGACTGCACTTCCTGACATTGTATAGCATTGGTACAGGATAAGTTAGAAAAATAGAGACTATATATAAATGCTCTGAGTGTCAATCTGTAAACATGGTCACTGCGTGCAGTAAACGTGGAAGGTTTCTGAATGACAGCAGGGGCTCTAAAGGCTAATTAAATACGGAATAGACACGCAAAGCATACAAAACTGGAAAAATAGACATTCATATTACTGGGATCTAAACAGATGGCTCAGGACTGGACCTTCAACATATGAAAATAGAGTGGTGCCAGTGAATATGCCTTCTTAGTTGGCAAGTTTACATATTGTTTTAACCACCCAAGCCTGGTGGTTTTTGGTGATTCAACCACAAATACAAAAGACTTCAGGCAGATATTTGATGAAACCTGATTGCCAGCTCTCAAATAAAACTGCATAGTTTCTAATCCAGCATTAACAGTTAAATTGATATTACGTAATAACAGCACAAGCCTTAAACTGAGAAGATCCTTTTAAAGGATTCTTAGTTCATGTTGCAAGTTCTCAGGAGTGTAGGAAATAAAGATTCAAATACAAATAACGGAATATAGCTCTTGTATCGCACCAGGCTCCATTAAAACACGAGAACTTTCCACCCAGAGTGAATGAATGAACAGCCAAAATAGAGAGAGTCACAGGTCTGTTCCAGCATCCAATCAAAAACAACTTCTCGATTGTTGGAGCCAATAGTTACTCTTCGCTTGTGGATCGGCCCCTCGTTGTTATTGGATGTTCCCAAACTTACAACTTCCATGTCAAATGTGATTGTGGAGCCGGGAGTGATGGGAGGAAGCTGATTCGTCATCTCTTTACCATTTACAAACACAGCACCTTAAAAAAAAAAAAAAGAGAGACCGTTATAACTACTCACACACACCATCTGCTGGCCACAAGACTGAAGGGCATTTACCAATATATAGACCAGTGGTCTTCAACCACTGGTCTGCAAGACTTTATTGCTGGTCCACGAAAGCCTTTACCCAATTATTTTTTTGAATTTGACAATTTTTATTTTGTCGAAAAAGGGGTGGGGGTACAGAAAGTAAATAGGGTGGGTTAACATCACATAAGGCATTGCAGTTTGAATACAGTAGTTTGTCAGGGTTTGCACAGTTGTAGTTATCCCTTAGTAACAGCACCTTGTGGTGTGAGGGTGTCTTGTGCATAGTGTCATCTTCTTTTTTAATGGTGTAGTATGGGTTTTCTCGTCATGGGGTCGTGCTGGCTGGACAGAGCTTAGCATGGCCCTGGTTATTGTGTTACATATGGTTATGGATGTCTCATCATAGCGTTTATAGGGGATAGGAGGGGAATTGGGATGGGTGTGTATGCCGTGTGGAGTAGTGTGGTGAGGTATCAGTCTGTCATTTGAGTTCAGCCTCCTGTCGTGGAGGTACCGTTTCCAGCTTCAGGGTTGTGTTATATATGATTGTTGCGGTCTAGTTTTGTCCCACAGGTCCCATGCTTCAGTCTAGTAGGGGTGAGACTGTCTCGATTTCCTTGCCATAAGTTCATATAGTTTGGTTGATTCTATTACCTCAATGCATTGGTGGAGTGTTGGGGTGATTTGTTGCTTCCATTTTCTGCTAATGACTGTGAGGGCTGCAATGCAGATGTGGTACAGTAGATACTTTAAGTGCAGGTGTGGCAATTGTGGGAGTGAGAGTAGTAGAAATGTTTCTGGTGTGGGGGTTATCTGCACCGTGGTGCATTTTGTAGCCAGGTTCGCAACTTGTGCCCAGTATCGTTGTAGTAGCGGGCATTGCCACCATATGTGTAGTAGGGTGCCTCGGTGCGCTTGACATCTCCAACATGTGTCCGATGTATCGGGGTAGCTATGTTTGAGTTTTGCGGGGACTAGGTACCACCTGTAGAGTAGTTTGCGTGAGAGTTCTAGGTGGGTCGTACAGAGGGTTAGTCGTTTATGAGCTTGGTATATATCTTGCCATTGGTCTTTTGAGAGTGTGTGTCCGATGTCTTGTTCCCATGCCACTTTAAAGGAAGGTGGGTCCGTTAGGGTCTCTATGCGTTCCGAGGCATATAATGTGGAGATAAGTTTTGTCGCTGGTTTTTCCCTTGTGCAGATCTTCATCAATTTAGTCCAATGGAGGTTTGGAGGATCAGCAGGTTGTGTCGGAGTGTGGATGCGTATCCATGATTGTAGTTGGAGGTAGGAAAAGGTCGCCGTATTAGGTAGCTTGAATTCTGTGCAAAGTTCTGAGAATGATTTGGGGTTATTTCCTTGCATTATATGCGATATTGTGGTTATGCCGTGCCTTTGCCAGAGTTTATAATTGAAATCTGTGATAAGCTGTCGGAGTGTCTCCAATGGCATCGCCGGGGAGAGTAGGTTTGTCGCGCCTCTTTTTTTCCGGTAGCTGTCCCATATGGACAGGGTTAGTGCTGTAGTGGGGAGCAATTCTGAAGCTTTGGGTCTGTGAGTTTTTGGTAGCCAGGCTAGAGTCTGGATTGGGATCTTCCGGGCTTGCCTTTCCTCCAGTTTTGCCTACGCTGTGGGGACCTGGCTGTGTGTTGCAGCAATGAGTGGAGCAATGTGCGCTGCCCTGTAGTATCCCGCCAATTCGGGCAGGCCCATCCCGCCCTGGGCGTGTGGCTTGTACATTGTGGCTTTGGACACCCTTGGTTTTTTATTGTCCCAGACGAAGTCGTTTATGACGTTTTGTAGTTCCATCAGATACTTTTTGGGGAGTCGGAGTGGGAGTGTACGGAACAGATATTGAATCTTGGGTAGAATCACCATCTTCACCGAGGCTATTCGTCCAGTCCAGGACACATATTTCCCCCTCCAGCTTTGCATTAGGGATTTAGCTTCCTTAAGCAGTTTAGTATAGTTCGCTTTGAGCAGTGTGTTCGTTGTAGGTGTGAAGTTTATTCCTAAAAATTTGATATTGTCCTGTCTCCAGTCGTAGTTAAAATTGGATTTAAGGGTTGTCAGGACAGGGCTCGGGATATTAATCCCCATGGCTAGAGTCTTAGTGATGTTCAACTTGTAATATGAGCAGGCGCTATATCTAGATAGGATTGCGTGGAAATTGGGCAGGGAGATATGTGGTTGTTCCAGGGTTAGTAAGATATCATCCGCAAATAGGGACAATTTGTACTCTTGGTCCCCAGTTTTAATACCGTGGATATTCGGGTTGTCTCGTATGAGTTGGGTGAGGGGTTCTAGCGCCAGGATGTACAGCAGTGGGGAAAGTGGGCAGCCCTGTCTAGAGCCGTTAGTTATATGGAAGGGTTTTGAGATAAAACCCCCGTTTACTACTCGGGCTGTTGGCTGAGAGTATAGTGCTTTAATGAGTGATATAAATTGTGGGGGAAATTCAGATTTGTGGAGGACAGCCAACAGGAAGGGCCAATGGAGCCTATCAAAGGCTTTTTCGGCATCTAGGGATAGTAGGACGCTGGGCCTCTTTTTTTGCTGTATCACATATAGTAGGTCCAGGGTTTTTCGCGTGCCGTCCGCTCCTTGTCTGCCCCTCACAAACCCTACTTGGTCTTCTTTAATAAGTGAGGGAATTATGGGAGCTAGCCTGTTTGAGAGGATTTTTGCTATAATTTTCACGTCCGTGTTTAACAGCGAGATGGGGCGCAGATTTTGGCATTTGTTTGGGGGTTTCCCTGGTTTGGGGAGGGTGGCGACATGGGCCATGAGCATTTCTTGTGGCATGGTCCCTGTCTGTAGGATGTGGTGGTATACTCTTTGTAGGTAGGGAGCTAGGGTAGGCGCGAACTGTTTGTAATATGAGTTGGGTAGTCCGTCTGGGCCTGGTGATTTTCCAGGTGGTAGGGAGTTTATGGTGTCTATGATTTCTTGCTCGGTGATCTGATGTTGTATAGTGTGTTTTTGTGTTGTCGTTAGAGTGGGGAGTTCCATAGTGTGAAGGAATTCGTCTATTTCTTGTGTGGTAGGTTGGTGTAGGGTGGGATCTGTTTTAAGGTTGTAGAGGGAGTGGTAGTAGTCGGCCATATCGTCATTGATGTCTTGTGGGTTATGAATTTTCTCGCCAGTTTTGGTGATTAGGTGTGGGATTTTGGAGTTGGCCTGCTTTTGTTTGAGTAAGTTGGCCAAGTGTTTCCCTGCTCTGTTACCTTGCGTGTATGTTCGTAGTTTCAGT